GCCAGGCCCCCTCCCCTCCTTGATGCTCCTCCCTTCTCTTGGCCGTCTGCTTCCAGACCCGGGCGTGGAGTGTTTTGGTGGTTGAGGAGATTTGTTCGTCCGCGTTGGTGGTCCAGTCTGTCTGTAGTTAGGGCTCTTGGGCCTCGCCGGTGCTTCATGCGCCCTGTGGCTGTGTAAACCTGTAGTTATGCCGAGTGTGGAGCGGTGTGCTTACCCTCTGCGGGTTTAGAGTTTTTGTGCTAAGGTGGAGTCGGAGATGCTGCATCGGGTTCAGCTGATAAGCTGGGCAATGATAACACTCAACACTTTTGCTCTAGCTTCTTAGAGGTTCCGCACTCTTGAGGGAGTCTTGGGCGAAAGCTTTGCCTGGTCTTCCAGGTTCGATGACATCGACGCCAGCGGGTGCCGTTTCCTCCTTGGAGGTGTTGCCTTGTGGATCTCTCCCCTTCGGGTAAAAACCTAGTCCAGTTTTTGGGCGGGCATCGGCAGCGGCTCCTATCGTTGTTTACCTCCTTGGAGGTTTCGCCTTGAAGGTCTTGCTCTTCCCTCGATCACTTATGTGGGTCTAGTTTTTGTCACAGGCTTTTTGTGTCTTCTATGTAAGGTTTTGCCTATTTCCCTTTAGCAAACTGTGCAGTTGTGTGGTTTTTGGGCCCGGTTTTCCTTATAAACAGGGTCAACTCTCTTCTTCTAATATATCTAGTAGAGCTCCTACCGTCTACTGTTTCAAAAAAAAACGAGTCTAGTTCGTTTAATCCCTCTTATGCCCTTTTTGGTTTGGATAGGTTGAAGGAGATTGGAGGGGATTGAGGGGAAATAATTCCATATCACAATTGGTGTGGAATAAATCCCCTCCAATTCCTCCCTCTTGTGGGATTAACCGAACATAATCTTACTGAAAAAATTGAGAGGAATTTGAATGAGATTTTATTTCACACCCATTATATTATGGATTTATTCTCCATCAATTTCCTTTAATCCCTTTCTCTTGGCAATTAAACGAACAAGGTCTACGTGAGGTGTAATGTCCAACCATTTGGGACTTGAGTACGATGTCCATGCAGGTGGGGCATGGTGGCAGGCGGTAGCCTTCCAGCTGGGTGCGAACGGTGGCCGTGTCCTATTCTCTTTGTTGGAGGTGGACAGCTGCGGCAGCAACCTTAGCTTCTACCCAGGCCATAGGGGAGGATTAGGCAAGGGTGTAATGACTGGCCTCAGTGTGGGAAGCAGGCGCCGACAAGGGTGTCAAGGAAGTGCGACCTTTCTTTCAAGAAGGAGATTTCATCGATGGAGGATCGAGGTATAGATGGCCGAAAAGGCCCAAGTTCCGACTGCACGGGTTTTGGCTCGGCCTAGCCCGACCGTTGGGGCTGTGCTTGGGCCTCTTCATTGGCACAATGTGCTAGCCCGGCATGGCCTAGTCAAACGATTAGGGAGGCAAAATAGACTTATTCCAGCCATATAAGACCCAACCAAAGAGACAAGGAATGCAAAATAAACTTATTTCAACCATATAAGACAGCCCAAAGGGACAGACAAAATATACTTATTCTAAGGAGGAGCATGGTAAGCTTGTCGTGCTTTTAGGCTGGCATGGCACGACCTAGGTCATATTGGATCATGCCTGGATGTTGGTGCAACCCGTGGATGGACACAATACGGGCTGTTTGGTTCACATACTAACATTGCCTAGGTTTACCATGTTTTCTTAGCTAAACTTGCCAAAGGTGAGGCCATCAAAATCCAAGCCACACTCTAGCCAACAAAATGAAACCATGCCACATTTTTTAGAGTCACTTACATGTGGGACCTAGATTACAAAAGAGGAAACCAAACAGAGTCTCCTAACATGGTCAAACTTGCCTAACCTCAAGTGTGGTAGAGTGTGACAACTTATGGCTATAAACCAAATAGCCCCAACTCGGTGTATCGATTGGGCCATGTCGGTTCAACTGATCTCGGGTCATGCCTGATCGTCCTCAGGCTGGGCGGACGGCCCATTTAGCTATATATGGATCGTGGTTTTTTTTCGGAAAAGTTACACTGAAGGTCCCTCAACTTGTCATCGGGATAAAAAACGTCCTCGAACCGCAAAACCAGATATGCGGGGTTCATTAACTATACAAAACCAATCACCCGAGGTCCTTCGGTGGTTTTGACTCTGGTTTTAGTCTACGTGGCGGTTGAGTCAGCGTGGGACCCACGTGGGCCCCACATGTCAGCCTATCCAGGTCAATCTCCTCTCTCCCTTCCTCTTCTCTCTCTCTTCTCTCTAGTGCTCTGGGTAGGCCGATGCCGCCGGCCGACGGGTGGGGAGGAGACCGATGGGGCGAGGCGGGAGAGGAGGTCCGGCGGCGGAGATCGTCGGCGCCTGCGGGGCGAGCGGGCTTGGGCGCTGTCGTCCTCGTCGCTGCGTCACGCTGCCCGCTATTCTCCTTCTCCCCGCCCCACAACGCCTGCAGCGACACGTTCCTGGACACCGCGGAGCTCCTCAGTGCCGCCAAATCTGCCGCATCCAACCAAAAAAAAAAATCATGTGCAGCGGGCAGCGCTCCATTTCGTTGATGTTGATCCAAGAAAGCAGTTGTTCGATTTGAAGAGTTGAGACCTCTCGATGTTTCCGAAAAATCATGTGCCAGCACTATTGAAAATGAATTTCGTTCCGAATTGAGTGAACGACCTGGACAAAATTGAGTAAAAACTGTAGTCACCTCCTTCCGAATCATGCATCCTGATCGCCGTAGCCATCCCGATCTGATGTTTGCGCAGGGAAATTTGCTGCCGAAAATCAAACCTGATGATGCGCCTGGCTTGCCGCCGCCGCGTCGTCCCTCCATGCCGCTCAGCTTGCCGCCGCGGTGTCATCCCTCCTGCGCTTGGCGTGCCGCCGCCGCGTCGTCCCTCCATGCCACTCGGCGAAGAGCTCAAGAGACTCCGGGTTGAGCTGGCCGCGGCCAAGAACCGCCTCGCCACCGCCACGGCCTTGCTCCCCCTCGTGGTCGGTGAGGAGGTCGCCGTTGGCCTCCCCGCCCCTCCTCCCTTGCTTGCCCTACCTCCTCCCTCGACGGCGGCCTGCCTTCGCGCCTGTGGCCTCTACAACGGTGGGCGAGAGCAGTGGCGGCTCGTCGCCAATCGCCAGCCGCTGCCGTCGTGTTGCCCGCCGCCGGCCGCTGACGCCCTCGTCCTCGTCCCACCTCGCCCCGCCAAAGGCAGCAGCCCACCGACGTCCTCCCTAGCTACCTACCCAACCAAGGAGAAGAGTGAGAGAGAGAGAGAGAGGAGAAAGGGAGAGGAGGGGAGAGGGTGATGACGTGGTCAGCTGACATGTGGGGCCTACGTGGGTCCCACGCTGACTCAGCCGCCATATAGACTAAAACCGGGGTCAAAACCACCGAAGAATTTCAGCTGACCGATTTTGTATATTTAAGGGACTCCAAATATTTGGTTTTATGGTTCAAGGACGTTTTTATATCCCGAAGATAAGTTAAGGGACCTTTAGTGTACTTTTTCCTTTTCTTTCCTCGTAATGAAACGGATCATCTTTGGACTCCACGATTACACCGCATGGTGAACGCTGATGCTAAAAGCTGCTAGACTTGGACAATTCCTGCACCCGCCACTCCATCGTGCTCCATCGGTGTTTATTTTCATCCGTCCCAGAGTAGGTCAAGCCTACTTCTGAACGCTAAGCATAATCGCATCCACAGCTGGACCTAGTTTACGTTAGCGTACATTCTATTTTGCTAAAAAAATATATTTATTTACTTATTTAATTTATGAAATATTAATTATTATTAAAAAATTCAGCGTGTGTACTGAATGATCCACGCGTCCCTTTCTCTCTCGAAAAGCTAGCGAATAAGAGCTACTAGAAAAAGCATTTTTCTTAATGTTGAGGGTCATTTTTTCAGCTAGACATAACCATTAGAGCCAAATAACTGTCTACAAAAATATAAATCAGGGTGAAGTTCGTTGTCCGCCTACAAAAAATCAGGCGGACCACTTAAGCCTGCAAAAATATAAGCGGCGCCCTGTGTGGTCCGCCTACAAAAATCGTACCTACCCAACAAAAAAATTCTTAACTCTACCCTTATCTTCTCCTCCCACCCCTCCCAACCACTCATTTCCTCTCAACTCTCTCTCAACACTCAGTATCCTCTCCGCTCCCTCAACACTGCAGTGGCGTGGTGGGGACGGCCACTGCGGCGGCGGGGCACGGCGTCGCGCGTGGGGCGGCACTGGGCGGCCAGCAGCGTCTCCCCTCCCTCCCTCCCTCGCAGATCTGGCCGGAGGAGGAAGGGGGGAGGCCGGCAGGGGTGACGGCAACGACGACGACTGCGCGGGGCGGCGGCGACGACGACACGCGGGGCGGCGGCGGCGGCTCCCCTCCCCCTCCGGCCAGATCGGCCGAGGGGAGAGGGGGGAGGCCGGCGGGGGCATCGGCGACGACGACGCGCGGGGCAACGGAGGCTCCCGGCGCAGCTCCCCTCCCCTCCCCTCCCAGACCTGGCCGGGAGAGGGCAGCGGCGAGGCGTGTCCCGCGATTTTTTTTCGTTCATTGCATTTTCGCAAGCGGGCCATTGCTCCGACTATGAAAATCGTGATTTTCGCAGTCGTTGTGCTGCAGGCGGTCCTCCCTCCCGCCTGAAAAAAATAGTTTTGGCCGCCTGCAAAAAATGCTTAATTAATTATTATGTAGTTTAATCACTTAATATTTAATACTTAATTAATCAACATCGACGGTGCCAACTGGAGACCCTGACAAGCACGGTGCCAACTGGAAATCTTTTGCCTATCAACTCGACAAAATCCCAGAATAAATTGCACCGGTAACTAAACATATTCACCTGAGTCATCAAATTTATTTTCAGATCTCTAAACTCATTTAAATGTGATATAAATAATCGAGACTAAATGTTAGTCTAACACCAACCGAGACTAAAGATAGTGGGGGCCTGATAACTTTTTAAACCGGGACTAAAAATAATATTTAGTCTCGGTTGACAATATTAATCGGGACTGAATATTAAAAGTTCTCTTCGGCTTTTGGCCGGGACTTAAAAAAAGATCTTATTCAAACGGAGACTAATGTGATTTTTATAATCCCAACAAAAAATCACTTCTTCAGTAGTGGTAGCTCCCCTTCATGAACAAAGTCCACAACTTTCTATGCTACCCGTGCTATGCCTCCCCTACCACTGCCGCATCTCGACTTCACACGATGCGGTTTCGTCGACCGCATCTCGACTCCTCACGGTGCGGCGCCACCGGTCGACATGGATGCCTCGGATTGCCACCCCTATGGCGCCGGCAACCTTGTGCTCCTGCTGCGGAAGGCGGTCCACCTGCAATTCAACTTTTACAAGAACATAAACTTTATATAGAGAGAGTATAATACATACTCCCTCCGTTTTAGTTACAAGATGTTTTGACTTTAGTTAAAGTCAAATTATTTTAAGCTTGACTAAGTTTATATAGACATAGTAATATTTACATTACTAAATCAGCTTTATTAAATTAATAATTAAATATTTTTTATAATAAATTTGTCTTGATAAAAAATATTACTATTTTTTTCTATAAATCTAGTCAAATTCAAAGCAGTTTGACTTTGATCAAGGTCAAAAACATCATCTTACTTTAACCTGAAACGGAGGAAGTACATAACTCTAGTAATGTGTTAGCACAAGCATATTACTAGTGTAAACAAGTTTAAAAGGTTATGCAGTCTTTAATTTGCCACTGCATTTCCAATGTCTTAATTTGTCAGCTGTTTTCTGCTTACTCCAGTTTCGTATAATCACTGTACGTAATATTGAGTATTTAATAAACTAACTCCAGGATCCTCGGTGCCAACTGGAGATCGATGATCCTGACAAGCATGTGGACGATTGCTGTCCAAATCTATTGCCTACCAACGCGACCAAATCTCAGTGTACTTGTCTTAATTTGCCACTGCATTTTTTTTCAGATCCAAATCAAATATAACTGCTTGTGAACATGAGGTAACTGCTGCTGCTTCGGAGTAGCTATCCACTGTCCGATCACACACTGTCAGTATAGAAAGGGGAGGCAAGAAGCCAGATGACACGCAAGAAATGACGCAAACCGATACCAGCAGATCAAACGCATTAGGGCGTTCATATTGCATTGGTTGTTCAGCCCGAGCTATCGACGTCGGCGTTTATGTGCATTTTGATGCCACGTTCGCAGGTAGGCCCACAAAATTGAGGACCGTGTGGCCAAACATGGTCACTCGTTCTTTGGCCCGTTTGAGGGTTGGCGGCGTGGGGGAGAGAAGGCAAGAGACGCGTTGTGGAGGGCGTGGCTTTGCTTCGCATCGTTATTGCCCGCGTCGCCTGAAGAGAGAGAGAGAGAGAAAGATGGAGGAAAGGGAGATCGTCACGACGGTCAGAGAGGGAGCCCGTCGTACTCCGACCATCGTAGCCCACGGCATGGAGCTTGCTGTCGTCCCCCTCTCTGCGCTGCAAAGAAGGTCACGACCCTTGGCTCCGCGCCACTGCGGGGCTCGTCGCCATCCCCACTGCTCGCCATCGACCTCGTCGCCGTCTCCCTCTTCTCTGCTGCCTTGATCTGGAGGTTGCCAGCGGAGGACGCTCACAACGAGGACAGGACGGCCGAGGCGCGCTGGCGCCCCGATCTAGCTAGTCGCCGTCGAATTAAGCTCCATGGCCTACCTCGAAGTCGTCGTCGGAGAGGGAGGGGAAGGCGGCGGCGAACGGGAGGGGAAGGAAAAGCCGGCAGAGGGGATGGGGAGGCCGGCCTCGGCTTGCTCGTCGGCTGCGCCTAGCCTCCTCAATCCTCGCCCACCGGTGAGGTCGGCCTCAATCCGTGCCGCTGGGAGCTCACCGGCTGCGCTAGGCTTGATCCGCGCCTGCCACGTGAGGCCACTCCATGGACACCACCGTCGACGATATTGGGAGTGGGGACTGGCAATGGGGAGGAGAGGCGCCGTTTGGGGGTGCCGGCCAGGGAAGGGGAAGAGAGGCGTCGGCCGGGGAAGTGGGGAGGAGAGGCACCGCCTGGGGGCGCCAGCCGAGGAAGGGGAGGAGAAGCGCTGGCCGGGGAAGAGGAGAATGCCCGGGGAAGAGAAGGAGAGACGCCAGCGTGAGGGGAAGAGAGGTAGTGGGCATGAGGATAAGGGAGAGAGGGGGAAGGGGGGGATTTCATATTCTTTTCTGGATTTAAGAGTGCTGAGTGTAAATTTTGGATCTCTACACAAATTAAAGAAAATATGAGAACTGAAAGAAAAAGTACTAGGAGCTGAAATACAAAATTAAAGCCACTCGCATAGCCACTTGCACTGTGAAAAATTCAGATTTAGAACTTGTAGCTCTAGCCTACGTGGCACACTGAGGCTCCTCGTACAATAATGACGCACTGTGAGTGCCCTTTAGCATCTCCAATTATTCTGCAGATGGGCCACAGTCAATCGATGTCTGTAGCTTTGTGTACTCCCATCCTGTTCGTCAAAGCATGCTGCATGACCATCTAGGGTCGTACGTCATCTCTGACGGTCTGACCTCAGGTCCTAGCTGGATTATTATGCATTTTTGCACAAATTAAGCAGATGCAAACACGATTTTGAATCTGTGATGTTGCCTACGGCGGATGGCTACTGTGTCGTCTCCCGTTGTTCAGGCATCTCCGCGCTGTCGTTTTGACCGTTGGATTTACATGTGTAAAAGGCATGAAAACAACGTTGTTGACTGTTAATTATAAAGAAGTCAAGTAAGGAGGATATTCGCGTGCAAAAGTAATTTGCAAACAGGTCTTGAGTTAATTAATTAATGAGACTGCGATAGAAAAAAACCCTTAAAATCTTGTAAATTTTGGACCGTTGAATCGCTTCGAGATTCATGCAACATATCCAACCCCTATTTTTTTTTCTTCTTCCCTTAGTCCCTCCCTTCGCCACCGCTTTCATGCACTCGCGCTCGTGAACACGCGAGACTTTGCCTCCTGCTCCATCGCCACATCCCACGGAAGGGGTCTACGGCGCCGGCGAGGCCACTTCGGCCGGCCGCCTCCCCCCGGCCCCTCCCCTTTTCCATCTTCTTCCCTAAGGCGGCGGCGCCGAACGCCTTCTTCCAGCCCCACTGTTTTCCCCATCTTTGTGGCTTCCTGCTGCTGAATCTGCCATCATTGGCCGGCACCTCCAACCAGTCTCATTGTTTGTATCCACCACCAACACCAGCCCATCGTCCACTACCAACACCGCGGTGTACGTCCAGCGTCCACAGATATCCCTCTAAGCCCTAGGTACCTCAACCCCAACCGTAAACCCTAGTCCGTACGTCCACTGAGCTTGCCAGAGTCAGAGGAGAAGAAGCCTAGTAAGGTATGAGTTTTGTGCGGATCCGATGGTCCAAAATCTATAAGATTTTCATCTCCAAATTTCTATTAAATATTATTTAGTAAATCCATGATTTAATTTCAGTTGCGTGAAAATTTGTTTTGTTACTGGTCCACAACGGTACTCCTACACGAAATGACGCGAACAGACACCTGCAGATCAAACACAATACATCTCTGACCTCACCTCCTCAATAGTTTCCAATTATTATGCTGACGGGCGACAATAAATGTGTAACTGTGACTGCTCGCCGACGCAGGAGCTAGCAACCGTCATCTCTGACCTCAACTCCTCAATTATGCATTCGATTGTTGTTTCAACCAGATACATATAAACAACACGCATGATTGTGATCGATGCTGCCTAGGGTGGATATATATACTTTCGTCTCTAGTTGTTTACGTGTCCTTTTTTTCTTCAAATAACTAATATTCCTATATATATGGCCGCTGTCCTATATATGCATAGGGACTGCTTAGGTAATATTTACAAGAAAATCCTTCTTCATCGGGGAGGGCTAATGGGTGGATGATCGCCCATAGCTATCGGGCACCCCCGTCCCCCTAAAGCGCACACGTCTCCCCCTTCTCCCTTCCTGCCACACCATGAATTTTAAAACATTTAAAAAATCAAGTTAGGAAAAATAAAAGAAAATAGAAAAAAAAGCTAATACCCTTAAAATATATTCATGTGTATAGACTTATACTTACAAATATATACAATAAACTTCATACGTATAATCTTTATATATAGAAATATTCTATATAAAAAATATTTGAATCCGAATTCAAATTCAAATCAGGTATATAAACTTTTGACCGATAAATTTTAGATGTGTAAACTTTAGATGTATAAATTTTAAGTATATAAACTTACCCGGAAAGAAAAACTATATGGTGCAAAAAAAAGGAAAGTGGTGAAAAAAGAATCTCCTGGGGCAATCGATTGCTAATTAGCGATCCCGTTCTTCATCTCAGTCAGTTTTTGAATGATACAGATTCATTCTGCACAGCAAATCCACCATATCCTCTTCCTCTCACTGCCGATGCATCTTCCCACCATAAATTGCGTTGTTTTGCCCGCACCATCGCTACCACCGCCCCTGCCGACGTACCAGCACTCGATGTAGATTTTGCGATCTACTAAAACATAATTTGCTAAGCCTATAGATTACCCTAATACGGAATTGGGGTTTAACTGACCGTTATTTGAAGCCATTGCGCTTGTTCTAGCTTGAACCAGGGTGGATGTAGAGGATGCAGAGCCTCGAACCACCTCACGTGTTGTCGGTGTAGTAGAAGTAGTCGTAGCAGTGATGACACCGGCTTGATCCCAAAGGGGTCGCCGACAATCACTTGCGGGGTAGCGGCGGCCTTCCGGTCGCCACCTACGCTGTTCTGGAACAGTCGCACGTTCTTCCTCCAGTGCTCAACTTGATCGGATAGGGTTTTGGGATTTTCGTGGAGAAGATGATCGTGGAGAGATCGTCATCTATCCATGACACCGGTCTCCCCTATTATGGCGCTGAGGGAGATTGGGGGCAATCAAAACATGGAAAGATTTGGCACTACCGATCAATACGTGTAATCACGCAATTATGGAAATAATTGCAATTGAATCACGTTAATCCCGTAGGCAATGGGTGGAAAACGGTTGTTGTGCAGGTGTTGTGCAGGTGGCATCCATGGAAGGGTTGTGTATAGATGTGTTGGGGCGGAGTCAAAGCTGCTTGCTAGGGTGGCAAGCTCGGCAATGATAAACCTCAACCGCTTTCGTCTCAGCAATGTTGTAGCTGCTTTTGAGAGTTCGTAGTCGGTAGGGGAACGAGATAGAGAGATTGGGCAAATGTCCTTCATGGTCTTTTGACTGGTGCCAATAATGTTGACACCCTTAGGCACCTGTTTACACCCAAATTTGGCACCTAGGATTAAAATAGGAAAGATTGCCAAAATTTGGAAGTCTACTGGTTTCCTCTGAGTGGGCCGGTCTAACCGCTGTGTGTTGGGCGGTCAGACCGCCGGTTGAGGGCCGGTCTGACCGGCAGGTCCGAGTCCGACTGTGTTTTGTCGGGTTTCAAGGTTTCCTTGCTTGGGAAGGCATGTTTCGGGTTTCCTTTAGTTTCTAGCCCGAGTTGGATGTGGAGGAGGGCCTGTAGAGGGCAAGACCAACCCCTATATAAGGGACATGGCCGGTTCATTGTAAAAAACCAATCTACAATCAATCAATCGAATCGTTTTTTCATATTGCTTTTAGTTTTCTCTTAGTTTGTCCATCTTTGTCGGTTTGCGCCGTAAACCGTCCGCCGCTGCTGTGAGAGTGCAACATCTCTTTGTAGGTTTGTCCTGAAAACCTTCCGTTTTGCCCACGAGACGGATAGTTATCTAGAAATCGGCTCCGCTAGCCGGTTTAGTTATCAAAACCCATCTAGGTTTAGCTCTTTGCTAGATCGAGGTGGTTGGCGACTCTAGGATCACCGCAAGGCTTAAGGTGCTGCGATCGTGCTTGTCAACTTGTCAAAAAAGTTGCCAACACGATTTTTGGCGACTCCGCTAGGGAGGAGATTCATTCATCGTTAACTCAACTTCGACTTCGCCATGACGAAGAAGCCATCCAAGACGGAGGTGGAGCCATCCAATATGATACCGGTCACATTGGATGATTTCGAAGGAGAAGACCACAAAGCTATGGAGGAGTACATCAACGAACTCAAACGAGAGGCGTTGATGAGGGCAAGCACTAGGACTCGTCAAGGCGTGATCATCAAGCCCGGGCCACGTCCTAAGCTCGCCCCCGATTTGGTAAGCAATGATGAGGTAACACAATCTATCCAACAACAAGTAGCATCTACAATAGATTCATCTATGATTGCTTTTAAAGATAAGTTAGATGCATCTTTTGAGGGTAAATTTGATGAGTTTTTAAGAGTTAAATTCGGCCCTCTTATGGCCGATTACATGTCAAAGGATAAGGCCTCTACCACTGCTAACCAACCTCCTATAGATCAAACAGGTAGTAGAACCGATGGAGCGGCGCACACGGCCGGTCTGACCAGGCCTGATGGCCGGTCAGACCGTGACCTAGCCGTCGGTCCAACCGGCCAAACGGCCGGTCAGACCGGGTATTACCCCGGCGGTCAGACCGGTACTCAGGCCGGTCCGACCGCACCTCTGGATAGATCGGATACCGATACAGGGGATAGATCGGATGACTAATGCTAGTTATTTGTATCATCTTAGAACATTTGATCCTCCTGTATCTACTGCTGCAAATAATCCCCAAGTTCCCCCACATGTTCCTAATGCTTATAATGACGTTGCTAGGGGGTATCCTCCCGATACTAGACAAGGCCAATATAATCATATTGCGCCACAAACACAATCTATAAGGCCACTAAATCCACCGCCAAATCAACATGGGCCTAATAATATGGAGGATATAATTAGTCAGATTATTAGGGATAGATTCGGGATTGAAACTAGGAATCGTGCTAGGGTTTACAAAAAGCCGTATCCTGATTATTATGATAATGTGACGTTTCCCCATAATTATAGAGTTCCCGAATTTACCATGTTTAGTGGTGAAGATGGTAAGACCACATGGGAGCATGTAGGTCAATTTTTGGCGCAATGTGGTGAGTCTAATAGTGATACTTTTAAATTGTGTTTGTTTTCTTTATCTTTGTCCGGTAATGCTTTTACATGGTTTACTTCTTTACCGGCAAATTCTATTCATACTTAGGCTCAATTAGAAGAAAATTTTCATGATTATTTCTATACTGGAGAAACTGAGCTTAGGTTATGTGATTTAACATCGGTTAAGCAAAAGTATAATGTGCCTGTCATTGATTATATTAAGAGATTTAGGGATGTTAGAAACCGATGTTATAGCTTGAATATAACTGATAGAGATTTGGCTGGTCTTGCTTTTAATGATTTAATTGCTCCTCTTAGAGAAAGACTAGATGGCCAACAATTTCTTGATGTTAGTCAACTTATGCAAAGGGCTCTGGCTCAAGAAAGCCGGGTTAAGGATAATAAAAAACTTGTTAGATCATATGACAAAAAACCTAATGTTAATGTAATTGATTACTCCGAGGCTAGTGATAGTGAGGAGGAGGG